GGCTCTGGGAAGTGACATCTACAGATTTAAAGGACCCATGTGATTGGGTCAGGCCCAACCTGATAATCTTTCTTTGTCTTCTAGTCAGCTGCTGTGTAATATAACTTCATCATGGAAGTGAAATTGATCCTATTCAATATGTAAACCACGGGGCAAGAATCTTGGGAGCCATCTTAGAATTCTAACTGACACAAATACCAATGAGTGTGTTTTTGTAACAAAATAGAATTGAAATCAGGATCTAGAATATATATTTATGATAAATATAAGTATATTCTACAAACAAACTGAACTGGAGGGTGTTCCTAGAATCCGTTTGGAGAAAAACTAAATTAACAGTCCCTGTATAGTTAATTCCATTATTGTAATTGTCTATTTACTTTTATAGCTATATTCCTACTAATTGCTAATACCATCAAAGGCAGAAATGATGTTTTATTCAACTTTGTACCCATAGTATAAATATTTGTTAAATAAACTAAGTGTATTCAAAACAAAATCAGAGCTATATTATTGAGTTTACTTTAATTAGGAAATGCTAGGTAGCTTAAATTAAAAGAATACAGGGGGTGCCTGGGTGGCTGTTAAGCAACAGACTCTTGGTTTCAGCTCAGGGCATGATTTCATGGTTCATGAGACTGAGCCCTACATCAGGCTCTGCGCTAAGAACACAGAGCCTACTTCAGATTCTCTCCTCTCTCTCTCTGCCCCTTCTTATCTGCACCCCCCCCACCTCTGTACAAGTGCTTTCTCCCTCTTTCTCTCTCTCTCTCTCAAAATAAATAAACATTTTTAAAAAATAAATAAAAGGAGAATGTATCGTAAGAATATAAGGATGTCTCGGGGGCTCTTAAGAAGGAGCCATACAAGTAAGACTAAAGAAACCAGGGTGGAGGGGCACCTTGGTGGTTCAGTTGGTTGAGTGTCTGACTTCGGATCAGATCATGATCTCGCAGTTTGTGAGTTTGAGACCTGCTTTGGGCTCTGTGCTGACAGCTCATGGGGCCTGCTTTAAATTCTATGTCTCCCTTTCTGTCTGCCCCTCCCCTGCTCATGCTCTTTCTCTCTCTCTCAAGAATGAATAAATGTTAATAAAATTAAAAAAAAAAAAAAAAAACCAGGATGACTCCAGAGGTGTCAACAGAAGGGACTTCTCAACCACCCCTTTAACCTTGAGCATTTCAATTGTTATGATCTAGCTACTACACTCTTGATGTCTTTGTCTGTCCTAAATTTTGAGTCCCTGGGAAAGAATCTGATTAGCCCAAACTAAGACAGGTGTATTCCCCCTACACCCACTGAGGTTGAGGCAGACTGTCATTGTTATACAGTGTAGACATTGCTACTCTGGCCCATTCAAGGAACCACTGTGAGCTAGGCAGACACCCCAAGAAATGTCCCTTAACGTGACAAATACTGATAGCTGCCTGGCTAGAGGCAGTATACCATCTTTAACTAGTTGAAGCAGCTTGAAAAACACAGGGCATAGTTTTGATAGTTCTGCTTCCGTCTTTTTCCTGCTTTGTTAAGATCAATTTTATTTAACAGACATTTATAGTACTCCTACTCTCCATCACGTACCCTATTGCAAGCCAGGGGAGATGCAAAGCAATAAGATCCCATCCCTGGGCTTCGAGAGGGAGAGAGAACAGCACAGGTGATTTTAATAGAGCATGACAAATACAGTGACACAGACATATATATCCAGGGTTCTGTATTCTGGAAAACTAGTCTCACTCTTACCCATGGCAGCACTCCATTATCTCTCTCCACAGCTATTGAAGGTAATTATAAAAACACCAACAAGCAATTACAATTTCTGATTGTGTCCTGTATGGGGCACCTGGGCCTCAAAAACTTACACTCATTATATTGGAAAGGAAAGGTAAATTATAAAGCAAACAGATTTTATTCCTCTTGAGAATCACAAGAGAGAAAGGATCAGAGGGTCCCCAGAAGTCGTTCAGGTTGACTCCTTGTTGCAAGTGTGAATGCCTTCTTTCCTTTGGCTTCTCTCTTCCTACTCATTTCTCTTTAAAATTGTCAGGTCTTTGCTTACTTGATGTGGAGGTGTGTGAACACTCCTTGGTAAATGGATTATAAAGGATTATGAACTGTAACTTCTCAAAGCAGCTTTCTGCCCTCCATTGAGAGTAATTGTAGGTGTTCTAATTTGTGAGGTTTTAAAAAAAATTAATATAGAATTGAAAGACCATTAAAGTCCTACTCATTTGGAGAAAATCATTAAACTGTGAAGGGATAACATGGCTGATTTGAAGTAACTTGGTCCAGGTAGTCATGACTTTTCAGTAAGAATTTATGTGCAGCCATATTTTTAATGCCAGTAACCTTTGAAAGAGGTATGAAAAGCCATCTGCTTAATTACTGCCAAATATACTCTGCCCCATGAGCTCCAAGTCTGGAGCAGACGCGTCCTGTTGGCTTTCAGCTCGAAGCTAGAGCTGAGTTCCATTGTGCTATTCAGTGGAGGAAAATAAATGTGAAAAGGAATTACCACTTTGAAAATGCTGTTACTTACCCAAAGGTGACTGATTGTTTCTTCTGTGTATGAGCAAACTGCTGAGAAATGGATTGTACTCCCTGAAAAACAGTAACCACCTCTTAATGTAATAGTGCATGCTCAAGGCATCTGTGATGCTGTCAGAAAAAAATAGATGCATTCTTCATGTGCTGTGTCACTTTATGGTTCTAATCTTTCTCCCTTTTGCTTTGGTTAGGCTCATATGCTAGATAATCCAAGAATCTTAGAAGGTTAGAATAAGAAATGATACCTAGACTTCATCTCTTTATTTATACTCTGCCTAGTTCCACAAAAAAGTTTACATCAGCCTAGACTTCTTGCAGTTCAGTTCATTTAACAACTCTGTTAAATACAGACTGTTTGGCAGGGACTATCTGCCCTAGCTAATGTAAGAGACAGTAGGAAGGACATGGTTCCTGTCCTTGGAGTGCTTACCATCTAGAAGCACATGTTTACACATATCAGTTAGGTAAATTATGAAAGATAAGAACTATATATATATATTATATATATATTATATAAATATATTATATAATATAACTACTATTATATAGGGTGCTATATGCATACAATGGAGGTCCTGGAAGGCTTGTTTCAGTAAATGATGTGTATGGTCAGCTAGGGAGAAGAAATAAGAATATAAATCATACAAAGGATTGGGGCAATGGGCAAGCGGAGTGGAAGGGAATAAGGCTAGCTAGTACCCTGAGGTGGATGGAGCTTGGCTCAGCTGAGGAAGGGGAAGAAAGCTTGTTTGGATGGACTAGAGCCAAGTGAGCCAGAAGAAGAGAGCAAGCCAGAGATGGAGACTGGGACAGATTGCTCAAGGCCTTACAGCCTCCCTAACCATTGTGGACTTGATCCTAAGTATAATAAGCCATAGGAGGATTTTAAGCAAGGAATAGAATATAATCAGATTTATGTATTAACATAATAATGCTGCTGGGTGAAGAATAGATTGTAGAAAGGATGAAGAATGTAAGTAGGGAGACCAAATAGGATGCTCTTAATTGTAACTCTGGTGAGAAATGATAATAGTGGAAACACTCAAGACACAGTTTGATGGTAGAATTAACAAGGATTCTTGGTTGGATACACAGTTGAGGGGTTAGAGGTTTCAAGAATGACTCCCCAGTTCCTGGTTGAACAGTGGGGCAGATATTGTTGATATTTACTCAAGTAAAGAGTGTTGATCATGGAATCCTCTGGCAACTGATAGGGATACAGAGATCTATTTTATTTGAGATGTTTGTAAGTCATCCAGTGGAGGTAGAAAGTAGGAGTTAGATATGTAGATTTTAAGCTCAGTAAAAGACCTGGGCTAACCATATGAATTTGGAAACCATCAATATATAGTTAGTCTTTTGACGTAAGGGAGTAATTCACTTAATTGAGGTTACTGAGCTCACACTGGAGAAGGATGGGTGGTTTAGAAATTTAATAAGGAAGACAATTCAGGTAAAGGCAGTGGTATGATTAAATCACCACAGCAGGAATGACATGGACCAATGTATCTTTTTCCTATTGGTGAGAAGTGAAAAATACCTTGGGGTGGAATTTTGAATGCCATCCCAAGCCAGGTAGTGGCTATCCTGGATATACTGGTCATATGGAGAGAGATCCGCAAACAGTCTTAGAGCTCTGCGTACCAGGAAGAAGCATTTTTGTGATTTTCCTTGGTTTATGGTGTGAAACCTAAAGTCGAACTTCACATAAATCTTCAGATAATTATTACTGGTTATACGTCATGAGTGAATAGTAAAGGTTAGATCTCTCATGGAATCACTGCCTATCATTTGCAGGTAAATGTCGTGGAAATAGGCCCAAATAATCAGAACTGGTGTTCTAGGAGTTGCTCTGTTTCTGTGACCCTGGTGATGAAGTTTTAGCCCCCACCTTCTCTGTTCCCATGAGGATGAGGAGGAGTGGAGTTAAGCCCACGTCTGTCTGGATCTCTGCTCTCCCCATCCATCACTCCTCCTCACAGTGTCCGCCCATGCAGGCCTGTTATACACAACCCATCACTTTTCATTTGTCAGAACAAAGTTAGAAGCCAAGTGAGGGGCTGGGAACCTTTCCAGTTCAAAGAAGAAAATGCTCTGGACATTAATGGGCCTAGAGGTTACACACGGCCGTTCGAAAAATTTATACTTGACGGTGCTAAAAGAGTTGAAGTCTTTCCAAGGTGATCTTCAGCAGCACCTGACTTGCTAAGCAGGGTCTAGCTAACCCCTAGCATCATCATTCTCTGTCACTAATAACCACATCTTAGTGTCCCCGGGGTAATACATCCCTTCTCGTGCTTAATAGGTTTGCATGCTTAAAGACAGTACACATCTGTACATATTTTTTATTCTAAGGTGCTGTGTATGCGTTTTCAACAGAGGAAATGATTGTAACTTGAGCCAGAAACTTAGCATTCGGTATGTACTGATTCTGCCTATTTTCACATCCACAGAAATGAAGATGCAGTCAATCAGATGGCCGTTGCTCCGTTTCCATTACCATCAAGTTCCCCGTTGCCTGTTGAGGTAAAATGACTCCTTATGAGCTTGTTATGACTTAGATAGATTATTTTTTCCAATTCTAGCATTCTTTGATTTTCTGTACCTGCTATTCCAAATTCATAGAATTTGTTAAATAGAGAATTTCACTAACTAGAAAGTATTTGAGGTACGATTATAAAGTAATGTCAAAGATATTAGAACTTAAAAGTATTGCCTTCCTCAAAGTACCTTAAATTTTCCTCTAGATCTATAATTTGTCCTAAAGAGCACTTCAGAATTTATTAGAAAAAATTATCTTTTTAAAGTTTGTATTTAAATTCCAGCTATTTAACATACAGTGTAATGTTATTGTCAGGTGTACAATTTATCGACTCCACAATTCCATTATAACACAATTATAACAATTGTTGCTTATCACAACAAATGCCCTCCTTAATCCCATCACCTATTTCACCATCTACCCACACCCACCTCCCCTCTGGTAAGCCTCAGTACCCCTTTCTTTATGTTTTCGAAATACTTTCATACCTATGGTCACAAGTATCTTTAAATAATTAATCTGTTAATGGAGAAATTACTAGTACAAGATTGCCATCACATTGATCTAGAGGTAGACAGACATACATTAGATAGCTAACTAGCTATATAATCAAGTGTCTCTTCACCTGAGGGAATATTACATTCTCTTTACATTTTTTTAATTTTTAATTCCAAGAAGAAAAAATACTTTCTGTAACTAGTCAAACCATACAGAATTATTAGAAGAAAAAGTTAATTTTCCTTTCCCTACCTCCCCAAGGAAGTTAATATTTACTGTTTAGTATCTTTCCATATTCTCTCCTTTTCTTCTAAGACAAAAATAAACAGCTATATGTGAATAGTGTCTCTTTTAGTAAAAACCTGATTGTATAGTACACATAAGCATTTGATGAGTGCATATTATGCATCAAACAGTCTTGGGTATTAGAGACATAGATGTGAATAAAACAGAAGCTCCTTGCTGTGATTCAGCTTACATTCTAATAAGGAAATTAATGAGTAAATACGCCAAGAGAATTATCAACAGTGGTCAGTGACTTGGAGAGAATTAAAATAAGGAAAGTAGCTTGTGATCACTTTTGTTGGTGTTAGGGTAATCCTCTTGGACAGGTGAAATGTAAATGAGATCAAAAAGATAAGGAACCAGACAAAAAACAAAGGGGGAGAGCTTTCTTTGCAGAAGGAACAGAAATAACTCTCAAGTGAGAATGAGCTGGGGCGTTTGAGGGATATGGCTGGAGGCATATTGGGAACCTGGGATATTGGGAACCTGGGGACTAGTATGGAGCAAGAGCTTTATGAGTCAGAGTAAGAAGTTTGGGTTTTATCCTATGTGTGTTGGATGCCACTGAAGGGTTTGTAATGAGGTGATGAGATGACTTGATGTACGGTCCACGAGGTAGAGGATGGACTACGGGAAAGTAAAGGTAATACACTAGAAGGCGTAAGCCATCCTGAGGCCTGATTGCAGTTAGATGAAGATGGTGGTTTGGTATTGGAGGTAAAGAAAAGTGAGTGGGTTTTTGGTGTTTTGGATGCTGAGTCAGACTTGATTGATTAAATGTGGGAGTTGAGGGGAACTCATGAATAAACCTAGATTTTTGGCTTGAGCAATTAGGTGCATGGTGGTGCCATTTTTTACAGTCTGTTGAAGAATAGTTGTTCTGGGGAATCCTGGGTGGCTCAGCCGGTTGAGTGTCTGGATTTGGCTCAGGTCATGATCTCATGGTTCATGGGTTCAAGCCCTGCATTGGGTTCTGTGCTGACAGCTCAGAGCCTGGAGCCTGTCTTTGGATTCTGTGTCTTCCTCTCTCTCTGACCCTCTCCTGCTCACACTGCCTCTCTCTCTCTCAAAAATAACTAAAAATACATTGGGAAAAAAATTTTTTTAAAAAGAATAGCTGTTCTTAAACAGAGAAGTGGAAATTAAGAGGTTTATTTTAGATAGGTTGAAATGCTTAGCATACAGGCTTCTGGTATAGATTCTATTCATTTTAAAATTTTTATTTTATTTTTTTGCTGAATATAATGGCCATATTTTTTCTTTTATAGTTTATTGTCAAGTTGGTTTCTATATAATACCCATTGCTCATCCCAACAAGTGCCCTCCTCCATGCCCATCACTCCCTACCCCCAACAGCCCTCAGTTTGTTCTCGGTATTCAAGAATCTCTCATGGTTTCCTCCCTCCCTCCCCAACTAATTTTTCCCCTTCTCCTCCCCTATGGTCCTTTGTTAAGTTTCTCCTGTGCCACTTATAAGTGAAAACATATGGTATCTGTCCTTCTCTGCCTGACTTATTTCGCTCAGCATAACACCCTTGAGTTCATCCACGTTGCTACACATGGCCAGATTTTGTTCTTTCTCATTGCCATGTAGTATTCCAATGAATAGATAAACCACATCTTCTTGATCCATTCATCAGTTGATGAACACTACGCTCTTTCCATGATTTGGCTATTGTTGAAAGTGCTGCTATGAACATTGGGATACATGTGCCCCTATGCCTCAGCACTCCTGTATCCCTTGGGTAAATTCCTAGCAGTGCTATTGCTGGGTCATAGGGGAATTCTATTCTTAATTTTTTGAGGAACCTCCACACTGTTTTCCAGAGGGGCTGAACCAGCTTACATTCCCACCAGCCGTGTAGGAGGGTACCCATTTCGCCAGCATCTAGAGTCTCCTGATTTGTTCATTTTAGCCACTCTGACTGGCGTGAGGTGGTATCTCAGTGTGGTGTTGATTTGTATTTCCCTGATGAGTGATACTGAGCATCATTTCATGTGTCTGTTGGCCATCTGGATGTTCTCTTTGGACAAGTGTCTATTCATGTCTTCTGCCCCTTTCTTCCCTGGATTATTAGTTTTTTGGGTGTGGAGTTTGGTGAGTTCCTTGTAGATCTTGGATACTAGCCCTTTTTCTGATATGTCATTTGCAACTATCTTTTCCCATTCCATCGGTTGCCTATTAGTTTTATTGATTGTTTCCTTTGCCGTGCAGAAGCTTTTTATCTTGATGAGGTCCCAATAGTTCATTTTTGCTCTTGATTCCCTTGCCTTTGGGGATGTGTCGAGTAAGAAATTGCTGCGGTGGAGGTCAAGGAAGTTGTTTCCTGCTTTCTTCTCTAGGGTTTTGATAATGTCCTGTCTCACATTCAGGTCCTTCATCCATTTTGAGTTTATTTTGTGTATGGTGTAAGAAAGTGATATGGTTTCATTCTTTTGCACGTTGCTGTCCAGTTCTCCCAGCACTATCTGTTAAAGAGGCTGTCTTTTTTCCATTGGATACTCTTTCATGCTTTGTCACAGATTAATTGGTCATACATTTGTGGGTCCAATTCTGAGTTCTCAATTCTGTTCCATTGGTCTATGTGTCTGGTTTTGTGCCAATAATGGCCATATTTTAATATCCTCTATTATTTCCAACTTCTGTTAATGATCCTTTTTTTCTCATTAATGCATAATAATGCATAAATATGTCTAGTATAAAGATACTAGACACTCTCCATGTATCTGTTGTTTACCCCTGCCCCACACACCTTGGTCTCCCTGACACTTATGTCTTTCTTCCTATTGTTGCTTCCATCTGGGTTGACTTTCCACCTCCTCCTTATTAATTCACAACCAATTATTTCTTGAAGGATTGCTTTTTGCAAGACTCCCCCAGGGGCACCTGGGTGGCTCAGTTGATTCAGTGTCTGACTCTTGATCTCAGCTCAGGTCTTGATCTCAGGGTTGTGAATTCAAGTCCCATGTTGGGATTCTGTGCTAGACATGAAGCCTACCTAAAAAAAAAAAAAAAAAAAAAAAAAAAANAAAAAAAAAAAAAAAAAAAAAAAAACAATAGAGCACCAAGTTTTCTATCATTCAAAATAAATAAAATAATGCATAGCACCTGGAATATAATAAATGTTGAAATGTGAGATATTATTATGACCAACTTCGTCTCACATCTTTCCCTTCAGTAATCTTAACTCCCTTCATAGTTAAATAATATTCATAGTTCATTTAAAAAGTAAAAATTATCCTTTGTGTGATGTCACCCGGGCCTTACAGAAAAGAGGATCCCATTTATAATTGAGTTTCTCAACTAGGATTATGTTGCTTGTAGTTCTCTCACCAGCTCAACATTTTAAGAATGTAGGACTATATGCACCACAGTAAATTGTATACTTCTTGCAGGCTGGCCTACTATCTTCTTGACCACTGTCTTGGCTCAGGTCATGATCTCACACTCTGTGAGTTCGAGCCCCACATTCAACTCTCAGCTGACAGCTTAGAGCCTGGAGCCTGCTTTGGATTCTATGTCTCCCTCTCTCTCTGCCCTCCTCTGTTCATGTTCTGTCTCTCTGTCAAAAGTAAATAAACATTAAAACAAAATTTTTTAAAATATTTGTTGAATAAGTGAATGAGGTGAACCATATTTAGGCTTTTCTACTGCATCCTTGATGCTTCATTTCAACGTTGTATACTTCTTATTGATATAATTTATTCTACTACTTATCAAATATCCACTTTGTAGATCATGTACAAAGTGTCTTACCTCAAGGAGCTTCTAGTCTTATAAGGAAAATATGACATGTATATTACTAAAATAAGGTATCCTAAGAGATAAAGTTTAAGACGAGTTCAGAGAGGGGCGCCTGGGTGGCTTAGTCGGTTAGGCATCCGACTTTCACTTAGGTCATGATCTCGCAGTTTGTGGGTTCGAGCCCCGCGTCGGGCTCTGTGCTGACTGTCAGCTCAGAGCCCGGAGCCTGTTTCAGAGTCTGTGATTCCCTCTCTCTCTGACCCTCCCCTGCTCACGCTGTCTCTCTCTCTCCTAGAAATAAATTAAAAAAAAAAAAATTAAAAAAAAAAAAAAGACGAGTTCAGAGAAGATGAATAGTATTTCCTGGTAAGCTATTTCTGATGGGTAGAATGGATTTTAAAATATGAATATGATTAGATAAGAATGTGGGAATAGGACAAACAAAAACATGGAACT